TGTGAAGGTTAACCATCTCGGTAAATGCACACATATACTTCACTACAAACACATGAGAGTAGTACAAGAAGCCAGGAGCACAGGTAAGAGTATGACATGGAAGTGTGTATGTATATGTGAATTCAAGCCATAACTACAGAGGGTTATTTTTTCCCTCTGGTCCCCAGGATTTTGAAGACTGGAACCCTCCCAAGTACCTTTCCTGCAGACTTAAGATGTATGCAAGCAGCCTGTTCTAGTCTCCTTTCCTTTTTCTATTTTTCTTCCCTAGAATGTTCATACTCATATTCTCATATACTGTTTTTTTTTAATCTTCTGACTTTTTAGGGTTTCTTCTTTTGTCCAGAATGACTCTGAGGTCTTAGCATTTCTTTTTTTAAGCCCATATTTCGAATTAAATATTAAAAATTCTACTTTGAAAGAACAGCAATCTGTGGATTTGGTTTAATCCTAAATTTTGGTGAATTTAAAGCAATTCTCTTTTCTATAAATGCAGTTTCATCCAAACAACTGGGCAAAATGTGAAATTTCCTCCATTATTTTTTCATACCTAAGTGTTAGAAAAAAATTTTGAATAAAAGCTCTGCCACTGCAAGTAGGTCTTTGCCTGTACAACCCATTCACACAAAATCTGCTGGTGATTGCAATGATGAAAAGCAAAATCAGTTTCATCTTTAGTAGTTGTGCCTTTGTATTCTGCCTTCCAGCAGGTTGCACTCAGATTAACTTCTTCCTGTAGCTGCTGCTTTGTTTGGGAGCACATTAAGGAACAGGCAAACCCTTGTACATGCCTGGATTTTGTTTTAGGCAGAAAATCCAGACAAGAAAGTGCACCATCCATTAAATCAAGCAAACAGCAAAGATTGGATCAGTGTGAAGACATGGCATCTCAAACTTTTAGACTTCACTGGTTTTCTGGAGAATTAGAGCTCTCCGCAGAACACACTAAAAGGTGACCACCTCACTGCTTTTATCCACTGCATGTAAATGTGAAAAATAAAGAAGGCAATTTGCATCTCGTTGCAGGGGAGTGACAAAACTTTATGGGTCTTCCTGTCCTGTAACATGAATCAAGAAATGACAACTACATGGATTCATTTGTAAACCATAGTGATAAGACACCTCCATGAACATATGGCAGGAAAGAGACAAAGAATTTTGCACAGAGTCATTAATCTTCAAATTTCAAAGTAAGACAGGCATCACAGTTAAACAAAAACACTCTGCCTTTGGCCAAGATAAATCTTTTGCTCTTGGAATGCAAAGGAAGTGATATCTGTTCGGGAAAGAAAGCATCCTTCTTGTGGGAGAAATAAGAAATGCCCTTTTTTCTGCATTTACTAGGATAACTAATAAAAAGAAGTGAAATTAAATGCAATCTTCAAGGACAACAAGCAAGAAAAAGAAAACTGCAGAGGAGAGAAAATTACTCCTGAAATAGGTCTTTGAGGTAATTTAGCTTTTTAAAATCACTGAATCCATTTAATTTTCACTGTGAAAATTAATCCATTGCTCCTAAAAGTCTTGCTCAGTTCATCAATTCATTAATCCCCCCTGGTTTTTAACTTGCTCCTCCTTGTGTCTCCAGCCTGATTAATAATTCAAAAGATAACTAAGGGCTCAAAAGATTGGTTCCCTAAGACTAGTCTGGCTAATCTTGATGCTGTTGCATTATCCTTAGATTTGCAAGTTAAATGCTTGGATGGAAAGGGTCTGGGCAGTACTGCTATTGTGAGTAGGAAGTAGTGGTATGTACAGGAGAGGGACTTTAATGACCAGAAATCAAAGCCATGAGTCCGGTGGGATGAGTGGGCAGTGATTTACTCACTGCTGTTGGGCAGAGGGTAACACAGGGCAGTGAAAACTTTCTGTTCCCTTTAACTGCGCTCAGGCACTTCTGTTTCTTGGATGGGAGAGGGAGCATGGTGTGAATGGCACCACTTCTTCAAGAACATCTTTGTTTTGAAAACAAAGTGTCTTCTTTTAATTGAATTATTTTCGAACTCCTTACAGTGTGACCTCTTGAAGTATTTTCAAACTGAAGTGAGTCCTTCTGCTTCATGGAGTAAAAAGACAAAAACATTTTTTTGGCACCATCAGGTTGCATTCACAGTCTATCACACTACAGAGACATTAGAAGAGATGTACTGACCCGTGGAAGTAGCAGCCTTTAAATGTCTCCTCAGTTTGGGAGTGAAAACAAATGGGAGATGTGGGATTTGTCTTTTTGTTTTAGTTGGATATGAAAACAGAGACAGAAACAGAGTTACAGCAGATTACTAGTCCAGATACCAGCAAAGGAAACATATTTTGCTAAACTTAATCTTAAATATTTATTGTATAAAAATGTATTGAACTATGTATTATCTGCAGATGGCTTGTAAAAGGAACTGCCCCGAATTGTGCCAAGCCAGTAGGAACAAAAAGTCTAAAATAATTTTATTAAGGTTGCAATTCCAATTCATGGTGATATGAATCATGAAAACATCCTTTGGTAATGTTTTAATGTCATGATCACATACAACTTACGTGGCCGGAGGACTTGGACTTAATTTTCTTCAAATTACAAGGAATGCAAGAAGGGAAAGGATGGTCCTGCCACAGAGGCAAGGGATTTTCTAGCCTAAAGGGACTAAATTTCATTGCTGCTCCAGACATTAAGCACCTGGCAGTGCTATGCAAATTGCTCAAACTAACTTGGCTACCTAATGCACACTGCTAATTTTCGACCCCAATAACCCAAGCAGTCAGATTTCAGAGGTACTGAGCTCTAGCTGAAATCAAAAGGAGTGATGTGCTGAGTGCATGAAAAATCCTCTATTCTCATAAGCCATTTCAAAAGTCAAGCTGCCCACTTCCAAAATGAGCACTTACAGTAAAGGAACACCTTTTACCTTGACCTCTCTGCAGCTCTGCTCTCTAATGCTAAAACTCAGGAATATTTCATCTCACACTAATATACTGTGGTGATGAGCACAATGGAGGATCCCATGAGGAAATCCAATCACATCTCCAGAGCAGGACTGGAATACTGTTCAATAAGTCAGGCCTGCAGCTACACTTTGAGCAATGTGGAGGAAAGCAGTGACAACACCATTAAGTAGCTGTCTATCTTGTGTGCTTAATGAGACAGTCCTGAAAGAAAAATGGCCTAAAGATGCATAATTAAAGGCTGTAACCTTAATGATGGACTCAAAAAAAAAAAAAAAAAAAAAAGGGCTGCATTGCTGCTTTAAGGTTAAAAAGGCAATGTGACTTCAGGCAATTTTCAGTGTATTGATGCTTGAATCTGTATTCCCATCATTCTTTTAACATGGATTTTTTGGTGGGTAATTAATACTAGGCTCTGTTCTACTATTTAGTATAAAAGTAATGATACATTGATTTGATGAAATGCAGCATATTGCCCATTGAAATGTGGGCACTACAAAGGAGTAGACAAAGTATATTTTATTTACCTGAGTTTGCAGGATAATCTGTGTTTAAAATTGCTGTTGTTTAACACAAACTTGCACTAGGAGCATGACTTGAGAGAAATTGCCATGGATTCTTGAAGGAGCAGTAGCACACATGAATTTGTGTGTGAAAGTAAGCATAGAACTTCAGTGGCTCCACCTAGTATCATCTACATAATGATCATCATACTTTACAATGCTTATAACATTTTATACATCAACTTTTGTGAACATGTTTCCCAATCCCACAAAGCACTGACTTTGCTGACACAGATACTTAGAATTAAATACTTGCTAAAATTACTTGGAAGCTTAGGTCAAATCATTTTACCCGACCACCAGCATCACTAGAGTTTGCTCAACAATTCTTTGCTACTACTACTACTACTACAACACTAATTATTATTATTATTATTATTATTATTATTATTATTATTATTATATCCTTCATCCTTTAACCAGTGATTGCCTTTTTTTCTCCCAACCCCAGGTTGCAGCAGGTCACCTCTTGAAGTGTGCTAATGCACCCTTTTATGTTTGTTAGATTACTACCCTGACAGGATCATGTGTGGCTTCTATTGAAAAGCTTCAACTCTGATTTGCTTCAAATAAAAAGTTCTGGTTTTAGAATATTTTCTGATTATTAAAGTGTTTGATAGTGCTGGTTCCATTTGCAGGACAGGTGATCTTCTACATGTTATTTCAATTTTTCATTTTGTTGTTGGAGAGGAATGTATTTCAATCAGACAAAACTGAAAAGCAATGACAATCAGCCACACCACCAGATGGAGCTTCTTTTCTGCCTTTCCTGCTGAAGGTGCTGAAGCTGTGGAACTGAACTCCCTGGAACTGTGGGACTTTACCTGTTTTTATAGTAGATGAAATAGAAAACTGTATTTCTATTTTTACTTCTGGTGATGCAGGACGAAGCATCCCTGCGTTTATAGATGGCTACTTCAGCAATTTTTATTTGTGTACTGTTAATGACAGCTGTTGTGCCAGTCCTTTGCTTTTACAGGCTTAGGCTCTATCATGCAGTCCTTTTTCTTGTTCATGAACTTGAGAGTTTTCAAGTACAGGCTCGCTTCTTAGAATGGCACACTAATATCAAAGCAGCACATATTTCTGCTCTTTTTTTTTCTTACTGTAAAAGAACTATTAACATCCTTCAGAAAAGCAAATCTCTCTGTATCCAGCCCTAATAATCTATACATAATCTCTTTTATTCACTGAAATTCAACTCTGAAGTCTCCTTGTGTGCTTTTAGCAGTACTGTATTGTGTTACAGATTCCTAGTCGCTGGTTTATATGTACATCAAATGAAGTTGTGACGTTCATAAGTCATGAGAATCAATATAAATGACTGTGATGAGCATTCTCTCTCTTTACAGGATATACTCTATCAGATACCTGTTTTGCTATCTGGAGTCATAGCTGAGCTATTGAGAACTGACTGTAACTGAGGCAGCCTGGGAAAATGCAGAGAGACAGGGCTGAATTCATTCCTCTTTTGACAATGGGAAAAAACACACATTCAAGCCGACAAATTTTAATGTAGCATTTATACAGCAAGGTTGCTTGGAAGCCGTTTTAACCCAAGAACTGGGACCGACGCACAGCTTACCCAGCTGTGACTGCTGGACCGAAGAGCTTGGCCTGCATTTGCCAGGAGTCACTAGAACAGGCCAGATTGCCCAACTCTGTTTTCCCAAAGGACGGGGAGGTGTCGGCACTGATGAGGTCAGGTTAGGGTTCCTCTGTGCCACGTCAAACACAGCTCCACAGACCAGCAAGGTTTTGCCAGCCGACGTCAAGAGGGTCCTTCTGGCACATTCTGGAGGGAGCAGCTGGCAAATTCTGTTGTCCTGGGAGAGACCAAGGGAGTTCAGCCACTATTGATTTTGAGTGAGCTACGCACCTTGCTGCTTGTAACAAAGGCAAACACAAAACGACAAAGCAGAATTAATGTGGGTACAAGTTCATGTTGTTTTCCATTTTCGTGTTGCATTTCCAATGAGTAAAAAAATCTAATGCTGTAAAGGGGGGAAAAAGGAGGGGTCGGAAATCTAATGACTCAGACATGTAATGTTCATGTGCTGACAACTCAAAAAGGGGATCTAGAGACATGTTGTTTTGTCATGCTTTATATCCATTCCAGTATTTAATTTTGGAGGGTTTGTCAAGCATTTGGAATTTCTGAGTGTCCTTAGACAAGAGGTAAACATCTTCTGTCTGAATAAGTTTCCTTACAGAATTCTAAGAAGACATTGAATTGTGTTTTCCAAATGCAGGCTGCTAGGTGGCAGGGTGGGAGTAAAATCCAGCAAGTTAAGAAATAAGGCAAGCAAAAAAGTTAATTATTTTAATACTTTAGCAATAGTTGTGGAGGTAGAATGCCCTTTATATTGACCTACTCTGGGTAAGGTTGAGCTTCTTCCCCACTGAAGTCCAAAGCAGTGTACTAGCATAATGTAGGGCAAGAATTTGATCAAATGATTTTTTTCCGAGATTGGAAAAAAACCCCAATCCCAAAACAACCAAACAAAACCCCACATAAACATAGAGGTTTTACATGTGAGAACCTGGATCCTAGTGTTCATCAGAAACTTTTGAAAGAGATGCGGTTCTGCAACTTTCTGGAGATCCACATTAAAACAAACAAAACCCATAAAACAAAACCCTTTTCAACTCCTATGTTGTGAATACCCTTTGGAAGCTGAAACCATTTTTTCTCACTGGTAATCGAAACTTTTCCTTTTCAGAGACTGTTTATTTGAGTTAAACGGTTGAAATGCAACAACAATCTATAAGGAAGGCAGGATGACAACTTGCACATGGGAGGGGGTTTTAATCACCATATAATTTGCTGAATAAAAGATCGACAAATGGCCTAAGATTTTCAGTGTACCATATGAACATAGAAAGTTTAGATAAATACCTTACAAGTACATAAGGTATTAAACCAGTCTTGACACCCTTATGAACCCAAGACCAACGCAACACTTCTGAAATCTTAGTGAATGGGAAAATTTTGTGCAACATGGTTTTGTCACAGTTAATGCTAATTTCATTCTGAATTTAGAATCCTTTGTGCCATTACTATATGTTTACTTGTAATGAAGAAGGGTTATGATTTTATATCAGATGTAGGGAAATCGTGGATCAACTGAAATCAGAGACAAAATTCCACCTTCAAGGAGGTCAGCATCTCACCCAAATGAGGAGACATTCCCTGCCTTACTGCCAAAGACTTGGTATTAGTAATTGAAAAGGATATTCAACATCACTATAGGAAACAGAGCCATTACTGTAGTTCAGAAAAACTGAATAAGTGTATTTTCATGCATTTAATCTCATTAGGAGCATCAGATAAAAGTCTGCTGAGACACAAAAGAACTATACAGCAGAGATCTCTAAAAGTGCTGTCTGAGAGACTCAAAATTCTAAAGGGTTTTGCTTGCTGGGCATTGTGCATAAATTGCATTTAAATATTTGTATTTAAGATTTGGAAATTAAAGTAATCACTTCCCTCTATTTGCTTCCATTTCAGTACTTTTCCCATTATGGACCTAATGAAAGCCTTTTTGAAGTACAGCTGCTTGGTTTTCCTGCATAAAAAAGAAAATGAGGTCTAATCATCTAAATTCTGAATAATTTGTATTCATATTGCATAGACCCACTGAGTTTTTCATTCAGTTTTGACCATCCTCAAAGTAAAATCCAATCCTTATTAAAAACATAGAGAAGCTGGAATTTCATATGGGGTAGGGAGTGTCTTTTTTTTTTTTTTTTTTTTTTTAAATAATTGAGGAACTTAATAATATGCTTCCTGGAATTTTTGTACAAAAAAACATGACTGCTAAAACCAGGATAAAGGGCTACATAATTTTCAAAGCAAAGCAAGAATATTGTTTCAACAAATGCTGCTAGCATTTGACAAAGGTGGTATTAATTTTGTGTGTGAACTGTGATAATCCCTGCCTATTTCTAAATCCCTGTAAATTGTTTCATAGGGCTTAGGAGTTATGACTCATTCACATTTTCTGACAAGCTATTGTCATGGGAGATCTAACACATAAGTAGGAAATTGGAGACATCTAGCATATTTGAACTAGGTACATCCAAAAAATTGAATACTTTACCTTGGCCTAACTGGAAAATCTGCCAGCTTTGGGTTTGAAAGTTGAAGGTAATATTAAAAGTGCCTTAAAAAAGAAATGATGAACAGCATTTTAATGGGTTTCTGTTTTACATTGTGTGGTTGAGTTGAATCCACAGATTCCTCCAGTTACATGACTGTGGGTGTCTGCAAACAAAATTTTCATATTCATTTTCTGTTCAAATGACAACAACTATCAGTCCAAGAAGCTTGACCAATTTACCAAGCTCCATACCAAATACAGCTCCAACCGAAAATCCCTGATCTAATGACTCCTGAGAAATACATTCCCATGCAATCATAGTGAGATCTGTAAAGCAATACCAGGGATTGCTTTCCAGTGATTTTCACACTCTCTTTTTAAAATGTCATTTTCAATAATCATCTTAGGATGCAAATGCTTTTGCAAAATGTGTGTGCTGACTGCAGGATGGGCTCAAGGTGGGCTGTTGTGAAACAAGAAGAAAGAAAGTGCTGTGTTGATCCCCGTTGTGTGTAGTTGAGAACCCTAATAATATCTGGTTCAAGCTCAGGGAATGCAAAAAGCCTCATGGCTGCTAATAATGCAATCTCTTTTTTACTAAGGAATCCCTCAGCTTTTATCACAACATTTTCTTTAATAGCAAATGTAGTAAATAGTACTTGAGACCTGGCTTGCACCATTCTTTTAGGAGAAGCCATTTTAAAACACATGAGAGAACACTAAGTGCCTCCTTAACTAATGTCCTCTGACAGGGTTTGCTGTGCAGTTGAACATTTGTTCTAAAGGTTTATCTGATTATAAATTACTCCTTTCAAAATGGCAGCAACTGATTCCCACTAAAATATGAGTTTGCGTGCCGTTAATTGCCTGATTTTAATTATCATCCTCCAATATGGATTCATATTGGCTTAACTGCTTTTGCTTATTTTCTATGAATTGTAGTTCTTTTTGCAGGCCTGTCTCCCAGTTATGGAACATATAAGAAATGTGTATTAATTGCTACCATATTACTTAACTCTTATCAATATTTACAGTTGTTTTCTCTTTTTGCTGTCCCTTATTTTGCTTAAACCTTTCACATTACTCTAGTAGTCCAAATGGTTTTGCCTTATGAGCAAATGGCACAATTTTTTCCTTTGCTGCTTAAAACATTTGTTAATGATTTGGCAAGCTGGGATAGCTTCCACATGAGGAAGTAAGGGATGGTTTCTTTATTTCTGCTTCCTCACCATATAATAGATAGCGCTTCAAGAAATTAAAGTAACGGTGTTGTATTTTAGGTTAGGGTTCTTGAACATATTTTAAGTACTAAGCACCCTTATTCTACACATTATCTACTCATTTTTCTTCTTTCCAGCTTGCTGATTTGAGGTGCCACAAGCCTTAGACAGGCGAGTGAGGAGGTGTCACTTCCAGGCACGAGTAAGAAAGTGCTTGCAAACTGTTTTCACCACAGTGAATGTTATTTAACAGGAGAGTCTTTGGGAGAGACCCAAAACTTCCGTTCACTGCTCTGCTAGAGACACCAGCAGATTGGGAGTGACGATGCAAACAGGTGACACCAGCACCTTTGCTGCCACGTCCGGGAAGAGGACAACTGCGTTCCTCCTTCCTGCCCTGCACCACAGAGCTCAGCTGAGGAACTCAGGGCCACGGTCTGTGGTTTAGCACCATAAAGCTGAGGCTGGTTGGTTCAAGGAGCTGAAATGGTGGTACCCCAGGTCCCTTGGAGCAGACAAGGCAAAGGAACATTCCCATGAAGGGTTTAGCCAACAGCCTGCCAAACGTGGCAGCTCCCAGCAGAGCTGGTGATCACCAGCTGATGGCAAACTGGTGCTCATCATGTTTTCCGTCAGCACAGAGGGTGCCAGCCAGGATGTTTGTCCTTCATTCCTCTTCCTACAGTGCCCTAAACCAAACACCAAACAAATGTCAGGCAGTCAGATTATCTGGCACTCCTGAGGAGCTGCTCGCTGTGCAGATCTTCCGTCAAGGTGTAGCAAGAACATCCTCACAGCAGTGTCTGCTAGGAAAACTGTTTGGTGATGTTTCTGCTGCTTTGACATTCATTCCTCTGTGAGACCCAGACTGCACACTCAGTTGAACTGCAGTGTGTTCACTCACACTGGGAGGCTGCCTTTTGGCAACCAGACTGATGCTAAAAATAAAACAACGTATGCAAAACAAACAAAAAACCTCCTTGCTAAATCCATAGTGGGAGTATGTTGCTTCAGAAAGCGCTGGGTTGTCTGCATATGCTTTTTGGTGTCTCTTCCATGAGAAAAAGAATGGAGGAAGTTAATAATGTAGTATTTTTGCAATCATCCATGCAAATCACCCCAGACAATAGCTGTGGCAGGCACAAAGTATAGAACCAAGTTTGGAAGCTTCTCTGATACGGACCTCATCTTACTTATAAAAACGTTGTTATAAGGATGCTGTTTCCTATGTGTCAGGCCTACGAAAAAAACCTGAGGGCTACTACTTCTCTTTATTTATTTAGGGGCAATGATGCCTGTGTTTTGTTTTCCCTTCTTGATTTTCTGTTTTTAATTGGAAACTTTGGAGATAGCCTGGCCTTCTGTGTTTGTGCACAAGTGTGTGCCTCCTGAGCCTTTTGCACTTGATTTTACACAAGTAACAGTATAGTTAGTACCGAATGTGGGTAAAAAAAAGAGATTGGCTTACAAAACACAGCGTACTTTAAGAAGTTAATGCCTTTGGAGTTTGTTTTACCTTTGGGGTTCTGTCCTCGAGCTCTGGTCTCAAAGATTTTCTCTGCAGTTAGGATGGGTGGGATGTGATTTACACACAAGAGCGGGGGTCTCACGTACTCCCGGCAGCGGCTCACGGGCAGCACCCAGCCCTTCTTGCGCCCAGGCTGGTCCCGAGGGGCCGCTCCACTCCCACCGCCCCCCGTTCCCCGAACGGACAGAACTCCCGGGTGATGCCAACCTGGGGGGGCTTCCGGCCCTCCGAGCTCTTTCTTCGCTGAACCTCAGACGAGTGGAAGCCTAAATAACGACGACGGTGATGATGATGATGATGATAATAAATAACCAATTAAATAACAAATTAAGGGGCTGAAGCAGCCCCTCAGCCTGGGTGTGCGGGGCGGGGGTACCCCGCTGCCCGTGTCTCCTCCAAGCCCGTAAAGCCGGCAGCGTAGCTCGCTGCTCGCTGCTCCGCGCCCTGGTAACGGCGGCCCCCGGCGGGCGGGAGGACGTGCGGGGCCGCCCGTCGCGGCTCTTTCCGCGTTGCCCGTCCGGGGAGGTCCCGCCCCAGCCCCAGCCCCGCGGGGAGGCTCCGGGGCCGGCGGGGGGGCGCGCCCCCAGCCCGGGGCCTGCGGCGGGGGCGCCGGATAAAGCGGTGCCGGCCCGTCCGCCTGCGGCACTGGGCGGCCGGGACGGGCCCAGCGGGGCGCCCCGCCATGGCGAGCCCCGCACGCCCGCGGCAGGAGCTGGCGGCCGAGGAGCGGCGGCTCCGCGGCGCGGCCCCGACGGTGCCCCGCGACGGCAAGCGGGAGGCGGCGGGGGAGCGGCTGGTGCTGCTGGAGCTGCGCCGCTGCGGGCGGCCGCCGTCCCCCGGCCCCGGCCAGCGGCAGGAGGAGGGGGAGGAGGAGGAAGACGAGGGGGAGGCGGCGGCGGGCGAAGATTGCTGCGGCAAGTGCAAGAAGCGGGTGCAGTTCGCCGACTCGCTGGGGCTGAGCCTCGCCAGCGTCAAGCACTTCAGCGACGCCGAGGAGCCGCAGGTGCCGCCCGCCGCGCTGTCGCACCTGCAGAGCCCGCCCGGAGAGGAGCGGGACCCGCCGCCGCCCGGCGCCGACCCGCCGCCGCCCGCGCTGCTCCTGGTGCCCGACTTCCCCGACGGCGGCGAGCCCAGCGCCGAGCGGCTGCGGCGGCAGCGCGTCTGCCTGGAGCGCCTGGGGCGGCCCGCGGCGCCCACCGACGTGCGGGGCACGGTGCGAGTGCTGGGCGGCCCCGGGCCCCGGGAGGTGACGGTGCGCTACACCTTCAACGAGTGGCTCTCCTTCGTGGACGTCCCGGCCGCGCCGCTGCCCCCCGAGCCGCCGGCCGAGCGCTACGGCTTCACCCTGTGCGTCCCGCCGAGCCTGCGGGAGGGCTCGGCCCTGCACTTCGCCATCCGCTACCGCAGCCCGCAGGGAGAGTTCTGGGATAACAACGGAGGCCGCAACTACACGCTGCGCTGCTGCGGCTGTCCCGGGGGCGGCCCCGCCGCCGCCGCCCCGCCGGGCCCCGCCGCGCCCCGCTACTGACGGCGGCCGGGCGAGCGGAGCCCACGGCACCCGGCCGGGCCGGCGAGGCCGCACCCGCGCCCGGAGCGAGGCCCGGCTCGGGAGGGACGCAGCCAGCGCGCCGAGGGCCCGGCCCGGAGACTGCCCCAAGTCTGGTGGTTTTTAAGCAGGAGCTTCAGTTTCGGCCAGCGAAATATGGATGTGCGTAGGCTCGCATTGCTGTGGCTTGTGGAATTGTTCTCCTTTTTGGTTTTTTGTATTTTTTGTTTTATTTTTTGAGAGAGAGCGCGAGGAGACTGAGTAGCGTGGGCTCTGCTTTTCCCCTCTTGAAGTGAATTTTTGAGGTCTTGATTTGGGCTTGACTCCACTTACCCGATTAGTCAAGAGCACTCGTGTGAAAACTTGGTGGGGTGTTCGCTACAGATATAAATTAGGATCCCAATTTTCCCGTTCTCAGATCCATTTGAAAGACACAGTACTGCGACAGCAATGGTCTGCTTTGTCCTTTTTCTGTTATTTTCTTTTAGTTCAATGGACTCCATAACAATACGATTCACTGTGGTGAGCACCTGTCAAACCCGTGACAGGCTTGCGTGCCCGTCCCACCTTTGCCACGGCTGCGGCAGCTCTGAACAGCAGGCGCTCTGTTTTGGGGCTGGATCTGGGGCTGGACTGGGCTGCCCTGGTTTTTGTCACTCAACACACTTTGGTACCGTGCTCACATGGAGATCCCGCCTGGCTAATAGCAGCCAACAGGGACTTGTGCAGAAAGGTTTTTGCTTAAAATAGACCGGTGACTTCTTTTCACACAACCGACGAGTCTAAAACCGGGACGAAGGAGGAGTTAAAATACTTGCTGATGCTGTGTTTATCAGGAGAACTTTGGTAACACCTTTGAGTCGTGCACTGTGAAGTGAAAGCTGGTGTTTGTCTCATACACGGTTCTGAATTTTCAGATTTGGGTCTGGCTTGGATGACCCTTCTCACTGAGGAGTGACGCTGCCACACAGAGAGGGTGTCCTCAGTAACAAATGGAAACAAGTGCCTTAGTTCAGATCTCCTTATGTTACATTTTGCACCACATTTCTCAAGTATTTATAATTTATTCAGCTTTTTTGCTACATATTTTTCTGTATTTGTATGTTGCTGGGAAAGGACTTTGTTGTGCACACGGCTGGACTTTATGGCGCTGGACACTTGAATTGATTTTATGGTCTTCACGCTTGCACTGCAAGCCTAGAGATTGACTACTACTGGTGTCCCAACTCTTGAAATTAAGCAAAAACTACCAATGCAAATGGGTTTGTAAGAATAAAAAAAAGTTTTAAAAAAAGCCATAGAGCTCACCGTTACACTTACTTTCCTCCCCAGCCCCCTTTTTTTTTTTTTTATTATTTTTTTTTTATTTTATTTAGCAAAATGTAACAGCAGGCTTCACAGTTTTGCAACCTATGGAATGTGTGTCCTGACCAGGGATGATCCTGTCTGTAAGCAGTGTTTAGGGCTGTAGCTGAAAATGACTGCTGTCCTGCCAGAGCATGAGGCAAACCACCCTTTGAGTCTGTGACAGGCATCCTCAGCAGAGCTGTGGCGTGAGGAAGTTTTACTAGCATAGGTAAAAAGTAGGTAGGTTATGGTCAAGTTTTGTTGGGGCTCTTCTGCAACTTTGATTCTTCTTGTTTTCTTTTGATACAGTATCTCAAAATATGGGTTATTTCTGCTTAATGAAGAACAATTGCCAGAATGCAGAAAATGCTCTGACATGGATGCATGGTGTTCAGTAAGACCATGGAATGTCATTTTCCTATTTTGAAACAGAGCACAGTGAGAGATTTTTCAGGTCTTCATTTCCTCTGAAGATGCAAAACATTTTAAAGGCCATCGTGACAACATTAGAAAAAATAGCTTCTTGATAAGATTCCCCATACACTTGAGAATATTTTCAAGCCTACGGCTAACCTGCCTTTTGAGCTGGCTGGAACAGACCCAGAGCTAAAAGCAGAGAGTCTGCTGGGGGAAAGACGGGAAGCAGAGGGAGCTTCAGACTAAAGGTGCTGCACTTCTGCTCACACGCACACTGCTGCTGAGACACAGCCTGTCCTCCCTCCTCCCAAAAAACCCTGCACGTACAGCACAGTGTGAGAACACAGCCAGAGACAAGGAGGTGTTTAATTCCTCGGGAAACCATTCACTGTTACACTGTATCAGTTGCTTTGACAACGCACAGAGGGAGAGCTCTGTGCAGGCAAACAGAAGTTTGTACTGTTGTCCTTCAGGTTACATGTGAACTCTCGCCAAAAAGTTTTTAAGGGAGAATAGTGAACTCTGCTGTTCCCCTACACGAGTTTGTTTTAACTTGTCATGCATTACAGGATTACAGGATGTTACATGGGATAACCTGGTATGAATTAGCCTTTCTTCAGATTGCTGCATCAATGAAATAATGTGCTCTTAGTGTAGTGTCAAGATTGATCCTTCATTTAAATATAATAATTGGGATTTCTGTAGCCCCTTCCTTATTCTGTGCTTTGTTTATTAGTTGCCTCAGAGAAGAAGGAAACACCGCCAGAAAAAGGAGGGGAGAGATCTCTCCCTAACAGAATTTAAAGGAGCAGCCATATTCTGGTGCCTGGGCAGAGGCGGTATCACGAAGAATGCTGGCTAGCTGTGCCTACTGATAGAGGCCTGGAAATGTTCTCTGGTCCACTGTAAACATTGACATCCAGAACATGTGACATTTCTGTGTGCTTTTCAGATGTGTGACCTGAAATTCGAAATGCAAGAAAGTACTTGCTGAGGCTAGGCAGTAAAATCTTGTGAGCGCTTCAGAAAATCAGTGCCAATTGAAAATCCTGCCAATTGTGTTGTGTTAATTGACAATTGCGTTAATTAACATTTTTGTGCTTTGATACCTGCTGAAGTGCTTTTATTTGTTATTGAGAATTACTCTTCGTGAAAAGAAGGAGAAAACCTCTAGATGGGAGTCAGACATACTCACTTTTTGATAGCCAGTACATTTCTTTGCTCTTAGGATTTTACAGAAGCATAGATTTCCAAAGTAGGGTTCAAAGACAGCCTGCTCACAGTTGTCTGTATTTTCATAGCTGAGGTTCCTGAGGGCTATGGAAAAGCAAGGCTTTATCAAAGATTACACTGGGCAGCAGTTGTAAAAATCCATCTGGACCATGTGTGTACCAAAGGCTTGCAAGCCCCCATCAGCGAATCCCAGGGCTCCTGCTCCTGACCATAGGTTGAGACACATGGCATAATTGCAACATTATTCTCAAAGGAATATTATCAAATGAAGAAATTTTAATTCCATTAAAATCTCAAGGCCAGTAGAGTGAAATGTTAAGTGAGACACTCTGTTTCGTTGCATTACTGTTAATGTATTTCATAAAGATTCAAAGCATAGCTTTTGGAAGATGTTCTCATAAACATGTTCCCTCCCCTAACCTAAATAAGAAATTTAAGATTTATTGCACTTTTGGAAAAACTCCAGCTCCAAAGATTTTTATTTTATGCAGATTTCTGTTCCCCTACCACAGATTAAGGACTTAGGGTACAAATAGCTGCCAAACGGTTTTATAGGTGTATATAAATGAAGAAAGTTTAATATAGTTGAAACTCTGTAGGGGTAACTGTGAAGGACATAAAAGGTAAATCTTCCTTAAGCAATTTTTTGCCATGTACACTTTCTTTTAAATTCAGATTTAAATGATTCAGGAAAGGGCTGTAAAGCTAAATTTACTTTGGTGCCATGAAGATCTGTAAGCTTGCATGAAAACTACTTCTGTTTTATTTAAAATTGGAGCTTTCAGTCAGTACTTGGAAAGTCTGGCTTCTGCTCCCATTGGCTTCGCTGGGATTTGGATCTAGCCCAAAGTACTGCAGGAAGGTAAGGGAAATGATCTAGGTTTAATTGTCCATTCTGTTCAGAGTCTTGTGTTATGGGGTTAGGATAACATGGCACTGTGATGAATGTTCATCTGTCAA